ATTAAATCAAAATTCTTCTTTCTTTTGGTAAATTTATAAACTATTTTTCTCAAATCATCAACTTTTTCTTTTAGGGAACTATTTTTCTTAATCAATAAATCATGGTCAATGTTTGGTTTTTTCAAATTTTTCTTTAATTCATCTTTTAATAGAGAATTTTCTTTTAGAGAATAGAATTACTTAAGGCATGTTTTTCAAAGACCTCAAGTAATTTATCATAAGAATCGAGTAATTCATTATAAGAGAATTTTCTTTTGTACTTACCTCATCTTCGAAGGCCATGAAGTACGTGTTTGCGTTTTCATGTTGATCATCACTTTCATTTTGATCTTCATCATCACTATCATCCCAAGTAACTTGAAATGTCTTTTTCTTGAAACTTCTCTTCTTATTCGGGCACTCGATTCTTGTGGCCGGGTTTGTCACATTCATAGCAAATAATCTTTTTACTCTTTTTTTCTCCTTTGTAGTCTTTTATTTGAAACTTTTTGTTGTTTCGAAAGCCTCTCCATTTTTTGATGAGAAGTACAAGATCATCGAGCTCTTCATCACTCATGTTATTCGTTGATGCCTTCTCATCAATTGCCGATTTTAGAGCAATTTGTCGTTTAGGAATTTCTTTTGATTCCTCTTTCTTTTCTATGTCTTTTCCTTGATCTCGGCATTGTTGAGTTCATAGGTCATCAACGTTCCATATAGTTCTTCCAACAGATATGTATTCACATCCCTTGTGTTTTCTATAAGCATTCGTATGGGACTCAATTCCTCCGAGAGTGATCTGAGCATTTTGCTCACAAGTTCATCATTAGTATATTTTCGATCAAAACCTTTTAAGCCATTAACAATATCGGTGAAACGAGTAATCATATCAACAATGGGCTCATCTTGCTTCATAAAAAAAAATTTAAATTCTTTGATTAGTATATTTATCTTAGTTTCCTTAACTTTATTTGTTCCAACATGAATAACTTTTAGAGCGTGCCAAATTTCGTGAACTGAATCGCATGTGCTAATTCTATTGAATTCATTTTTATCTAGTGCACAATAAAGCAAATTCTTAGCTTTAGCATTTAATGACTATTTTCTCATATCGTCTTCATCGTTTTCCTCTCTAGGCTTGGGAATACATTGATCGGGTTTGCCATCAATTTTAATAGTCATAGTAGGCACATATAGACCATATTCAATAATTTTCCAAATATTATAATCAATATATTGAACATAAATCATCAATCTAGTTTTCCAATAATTATAATGTGTACCATCAAAGAAGGAAGGACGGTTGGTAGAATGCCCCTTGAGATTTTGAAAACCGATGTTAGCCATAACTCAAGATTGTGAAATCTTTGAAGAGGTGAATATCGGGCTCTGATACCAATTGTAAGCCCAAGATAGGTTAACCAAGAGGGGGGTGAATTGGTTTTAAAACTTTTTTGAAGAATTAATCAAAATTCAAGCAAATAAAGATTAAGTAGATTAATTCAAATAATAAGCATGAATATAAAAGCGCTAAGTAAAAGGGAGTTAGAAAGTGCAAACGATATGTTATGGAGGTTCGATCCAACCCAACGATCTATGTCCTCCGTTACCAAGCTCTCCTTCACGAGTGATGCCTTTTTTCACTGTGTTGATTGTCTCAAAGAGCACCGATCCTTTTACAATGTTGAGCTTTTCTGGGGACCTCAACACGACCCACAATTTAAATTGAATTTCCAAGTGAAATCTTTTCTTCTTTTTGAATGATAGAATCAAGATTGATAAATGATAAAATCAAGATAGATAACAAGAAGAGAAGAGGCAAACACTTTAATAATTGGTAATGAGTTTAGCTCAAAGTGTTGAGATAAAAAACTTTTTGAAGAACGTAAAGATTTTGACAAAGTTAAATCACTCAAAAATTTTACAAGAGTTTGATGCTTTTTGATCTTCTTAAGGATGGATAATAAGGTGGTTGTGAACAATAAAAAAAGCCTCACTTAATACTTGAGAAAAGGTAGATGTATGTGAAGGAATAGTTTACCAGATGCACTATACCGGACGTTCAGTAAATACTGGACGGTCAAATATCCGTTAATTTTGTCAGAAAATTTGAACATTAGAAAAATGACCGTTGGAACCAAAACTAGTGTATCGGACATCCGGTATGCTCAGAATGTCATCGTTTCTTGTTTTTATCAAATATAGGTATTTTAAGGACGTTTTAAAATATTTTTCAAGATATATGCTATACATGTTTTGATCTTTGAATACATAATTCTTGAGTAAAACATTTGTCGTGATTTTTCGATCGTAAATTCAAAACTTTGAGCTCGTCACGATTTATTNGAATAACTTGATGTGCATTGCTCGATTGGTACTTGACTCGTGTCTCGATTTTCGTGGAGGCAACTTTTGCGGGATTTGCAACATCATTCTTCAATAGCCTCGATTGTTTGATCTTGTTTCTATTTGAGCTATTTTGCAAGTTTCTTGATCTCGAACTTTGTGCCTTCGAATGTACTTATGTGCAATAATCACTATGGACACTTAAATCAAATTGTTAGCAATAAACATAATTTGTTTGTGATAATCAAAATGAGAAGTCAACTATAGGTCAATAATGATAAGATGCTCTTCTTTAAAAACAAAGCCTCAAGTAAGTTGTCATTTCTTGGTAAGGCTATATTTTCTACCCATTTGGTGGTGAAAAAGTCCTCATGAAGTTAATGCCCCTAAACATCGAATAACTTCACTTGCAAAAATGTTGTTTAGAGGCATCTCATTCCTTGTTGAGATTTTTTTGTCATTTGTCATTTATTACATTTCCAAACCAGGAAATGATCATCCCAAGATAGCTTAGGCCAACAGAAACCAGATTATGATCAACATATGTAGATGAATGCTAATGCTCTAAAAGCTTTTCAATCTCTTCCTCTAGTACACAACAATAAATAAGTTGATTCGAACCTTGTCTATAAAGAAAATGATCATCTCAATTTTCTTCTGATGACTCAAATAGTCCAGTGAAATGATAGAGCTGGTTAAGTAGTTCACGTAGTCTACATAAAGTTGTTGTCCCATTCGGTAAAAGTATTTCATTTTGGAATACTTTGTTAATTTCTTCTGGCTAATCTCGTTCTTGCAACTCAAGGCAGGATAGATGGTCAACTACCAAATTCTTGCTCTCTTTCTTATGACGAATCTCTAAATTGAATTCTTCAATATAGAAATATCCACTGAATGTGTCTCAGCTTCGCATTCTTCTTTAATAGCAAGTACTTCAATACGACATGATCTGTGTTCACAGCCACCTTCGACCAATTAAATAGAGCCAAAATTTGTAGAAGGCAAGCACCACAACTAAGAGCTCTTTCTCGGTAGTAGAGTAATTTAACTTAGCTTCAATAAGAGTTTTGTTGGCTTAGTAAATCACACGAGAGATGCTCTTGCATTGACCAAAAAATATCTCAACTGCATAATTGCTTGCATTGTACATGATATACTCTAATCAGGTGCAACAATTACTTGGGTAGATATTAGCTTTTCCTAGATTGTTGAATGCAACAAAGCATTCTTGGAAAAGTGAAAAAATGTATCATTTTCTTGTAGATTGCAAAATGACTGTGGTTTAGAAGTCGTTGATGAACCGTCAATAGAATCATGCATGTCCTAAAAAACTCAACATTCCCTTAACTAAAATGGGTGGAGTTAGCTTAACAATCACCTTTTCTCTTAGCTCTGACGACTTTAATGCTCTTTGTTGTGTTGCTGAAATGTTTTCAAAATTATTTTTGAAAATATTATAAGTAATCGTTGAACTTTAATTTAAATACGCATTTACAACTATTATTCATATTATCCACATATTGTGTGGGATCCACTGTAATCTCCTTACACGAAATTAGAGCAAAATCCATGCACACTAATTTTTAACTTATAACTTATCTTTTTTAAGCTTAGCCAAACATTCTCCGTCTTGTCTCCCAAGTTCTCTTTTTCTTCCCTTCTTTTATTCCTCCGTCGCTCTCGCTCGCTCTCGCCCTCGCATAAATCATTCAAAATTTTCCCAGAGAAAAGCCAAGAAGGTGATAGATCATAACGATAGACATATATATAAAATAAACCCATTTCGATCCTTTGATACAAAAAAAAGTTAATAGATGGCGCGGTACGACAGAGCAATTACGGTGTTCTCACCGGACGGCCATTTGTTTCAGGTGGAGTACGCCCTCGAGGCCGTCCGAAAGGGAAACGCCGCAGTCGGTGTTCGAGGCACCGATACCATCGTCCTTGCCGTCGAGAAGAAATCCACCCCCAAGCTCCAGGACTCCAGGTCAGAATTGTACATCTGGAGTTATTTATACTTTAAAATGTGCTTCTATTTTTGTAGATCGTTGAATTGCATGTCATTAGTGATTTTGGGTGGTCGGTGATTTATTCGGCTTCGTGGTAAATGAAAGGATTATCTAGGGTTTTGGGTTTTTCATTTTCGAATTGATTTTTATTTATTTATTGTTTTTGTATTTCGATTCTGTATTTGGAATTTAGCTAATTGAGTGATATTTTGAAAAGATGAGTTAATTTGTGGTTGGAACTTGGAAGATTGCTGAAGGGATTACTTACTCCTATAGTGTAGTGATTAATTACTTTATTTATTTTATTTATTTATTTATGGTGTTATTACTACTATTTAGTTCTGTTGTTTGAGAAACTAAAACCAGTTGCTGTTGTTTTATTTTTAAATTATGTAATTTGTAAAATGGTAAGTTGAAGGATACTTCGCACTCAAAGTGAATCTCACTCAAAGTGAATCTCACCAAAATAGTGAAGGAGAATTGGAGTTAGCCAGTTAGGAGCGGTTTGAGTGCAGTACTGGTCAATTACTTTGCATTGGCTTGTACAAATTTTAGGATGTAGTTGTACACGAGAATCATTTGTTAAATAATTTGAAATATTAGGTATAGCTTCAGTAGCTAAGTGTCATGGACTTAGTTTTGTTTCAACTGACAAACTAGGACCGTGCAACTAACGTTTCACAAATTTCGTCCCCATGAGAATACGTTAAGTTAGCCTTAAAACACTCATAAAAATGTAATCTTTGTGGTTAAATTATGACAACTTTGAGTTGATGATATAAAGTAGGAAATTATATTAAAATGAACAAGCAAATAAGTTTGGGAGAATCTCCTTGAATAAATGAAAAAAAAAAACTTTTTTACAATATCTCAAGATTTAACTCACTCTATTTGACATTTACAAATGAGCTATATATCTATTTGTAGGCAAAATCTTGCTGAGACACTTGAAATCAAGGACCAACGTTAAATGGATCTAATGGCCACAATTACTTGCAAGATGCTAATCACTTTGCAACTCTATGCAAATTGGCATGTCTTTTTATATTCAAGTTGAACTTTGCTTCTTCTTTTAAGCAAATTGTAATCAAGTTAAACTTTGCTTCTTATATTCATGCAAGTTGCACAAGTGATGCTCACTTGCTGGACTGCGTCCAAAACTAATGATTGCAAAACTAATGATTGCAGTTTACGGCATTTAATCCTTAAAAATAGTGATTTTTGACTTTGAAAAATCTGGTGACTGTGCCTGCACAGCCTACCAGCATTTTTCCTAATTGCGTCTCCTACCGTAGGTAGTTCCATCTTGTCGAAGCGCCCTATCTTTGCTATTTTGCAATCGCTGCCTGGATGCATTGACCGCAATCTGGGAGGACTTAAGTCACTTCTCCACTGAATATGATGACGCCCTCGTCGTGGTGTAGTGCTGGAGCTTGGACTTAAATTGCCATAAGTCTCCTTCATTTTCCCAAGTAGCTTCAGACTCGAGTAACCCTTTCCACTTGATTAAGTATTGGGTGCAAGGGGGAAGACCTCTCTATCTAACCTCCCTATCTACAAAAATGGTTTCAACATCGTTCTCAAAAGATTTTATAACAATGTGAGGCACCCGTTTTAAGTCATCTCTGCTCGTATCATCCAAGTCAAGTCTATATGACTTTCACATACTTACATGAAAGATTGGATGAATCTTTTAAGTGCTTGGGAGATCAAGCTGGTAAGAAACTCTTCCAACCTTAGCCACCACGGGAAACGGTCACTTATATATTCGAACCGAGCTTTTGTGAACTTTTCGGTAAGCTTTGAATTGTTGCGACACCACTTTTACAAGAACTTGATCATCGATATTAAATTCCGAAGGTCGCAGTTTCACGTTTGCCCATTTCTTCATTCGTTTCTAAGCTTTCTCCAAGCAAGATCGAGCTAAGTCTGAATGATCTCCCCATGACTTAGCAATTTTTGAGGCTCCAGGACTTCGGCCTCAGTCAACGGCTGTAGGCATATTATAGGGCGAAATTGTTGGACTATGCCCAGTTTTCATACAACCTATAGAAAAGTGAATCTATGGGGCAAAGTTCATTGACTTGCGTCCTCCCAGTTCGTGGTTGATTCATCCATGTAGTGGTCGTAAAATAGTGCAAACAGTGGGTAGGGAAAATGTAGGCGGGTTGTGCGCTAGATTTTTCTAATTCAAAAATCACCATTTTGAAGGATTATTAAATTTCTTGGACTACAACCGTTGGATTAGGACGCAAGTGGGTGCCAATTTGAGCAACTTTCATGAAAATAAGAAGCAAAATTTAAATTGATTAGAACTTGCTTGAAGGACGAAACAAAGTTCAACTTGAATATTATTTCCATAAAGGGACATGCCAACTTGCATAGAGTTGTAAAGTGACTTACAACTTACAAGTAATTGTAGGCATTTGATCCATTTAATCTTGGCTATTGATTTTAAGATATCTTGCAAGAATGTGTCTATAAATGGATATATATAGCTCATTTGTAAATGTTAATGAGAAGTGAGTTAAATCTTGAGAGATTGTAAACAAGTCTTCCTTTCATTTATACGAGGAGATCTTCCCAAACTTATTTGCTTGTTTCTTTAAATATAACTTCCTACTTTATATTTATATTTAAAGTTGCCATAATTTAACCTCAAAGGTTAAATTTTTGGTATTTTCGTGGGGATGAAATTTGTGAAACGTTAAAGCCACATGATTCTAGTTTGTCAGTTGAAACAGAACTAAGTCCGTGACGTAAGGCACAGTTTCCATGTACTCCAACTTGACTTTTTGTTCTATGGGTGCGTTTGATTGCAAAGGTGGAAAATGGGTGAAAAGAAAATGTTTTACAGGGAAAAGATTTGTTTAGAAAATGTTTTGCAGGGAAAATGATTTCAAGTGTATTTGATTGGTATAATTTTCCACCCGAAAAATTTTTAAATTTTCTATTCGTTTGGCTTTGTTTTACATGAAAATTGTCGATTAAAGTGATATTTTTTTCCACAATTGGTTATAAAATTTGTTTCCCTTGCCAAAAAGTTAAAAAAAGGAGAAAAAAATTTGTTTCCTAAAAAATCATTTTTTTATCAAAGTTTAGTATTCATTTGACTTTGTTTTACATGAAAATTGTCCATTAAAGT